TGGCTCCAGCGCTACAGCTCCAAGGACACCCGTGCCAGGCTAGCCGGCTTGCAAACCTCTCCCCTGGGCAAAGGAGGCTTTGGGGGTGCATGAATTGGGTGGCTGGACCAGGTGCTGCTCAGTCCTCTGCCACTGCAACAGTCTGATTCCTGAGTGACTCCCTCCTCCTTTGAACACAAGGACTGGATATCGCACACCATGTGAAGGACCCCCATCACCCTAACACCTGGCTTAGAGGCACAAAATGAGCTACTGCCCTTTTCCCTGATCCCAATGGAGCCTGGCACACAGGGGGTGACATGGTCACCCCAAGCGATGCAGGGCAGCAGCCGCAGGGCAGCTGGCTGGCCTGGCATTGCCCAGGCTTCAGGCTACCCATCCAGCTCAGACCATCCCTCCCTGCTGCTCTCAGTCATCCTGGTTTGAAACACATAACTCGGACAGAATTGCTCCTGAATTTATTTGTGAGAGTGTGAGGTTTGTCAGAGTGAGTGCAGCCCTGGGCTGTGTCAATCCTGGCGTCTGGGCTCATGGGAAGCTGAATTTGACATCTCCCATGAATTCTTGAGGACAGGATAAGACAAGGATATCTAAATCCTTTTCAAAGATTTTAGTATGAAGCATGGATTAAAACGCTGGCTGGGCTTTACAAAAGACTAGTGCCATAAGCAGTCACTAATAAGAGCTTCAAACTAAAGAAGCAACAATGCAGCTTGAAAAATTCTAGTTTTATTCTGTGCTAAGTAGCAAGATTAATTTGTGGAAGGTCTTTTTCCCCCCCACTCAGGATCCTGATTCACTTTCATGCATCCTCTGCTTCTGCCTAACAAAAGCAGCAGATTTATTCCTGGGTAAATTGTTTCCCAAACACTTGGTATTTTATCCTGTGTTCTTCCCAGTTCATTAATAGTAAAAGGAATCACCTGCAAGAAAGCAAACGACCTTTCTGAGGGCAAAGATCCACCTGGCTGGAAACCTGAAAAAAACATTCTGGACGTTTGCTTTTCCAGTGCCATCCTGGGGCACAGCTTCATTCTCAGTTTTGCAGTGTCAGGGTGGAGGAGCAGGAGGGGATCCCCTGCCACTCTCGGAGAGCTTTGGTTCCCTCATCCCCGAGGAAATCCCCAGTGCCTGGGAGCTGAGCAGCCACAGCGGGGGTGCAGGCACAGCCCAACTGCAGCTTGCAGACAACTTCCCCCCGGAGATGTTCCAGTGGAGGCTGACATCCCCAGGGAAAGTCCTCCCCGATGCTGGAGCACCCTCTGCCCGTGGGTCACACGCGTTGGTCCCTTTTTGCTGGCAGGTGACACGGCTGCGCCAGGGCTGGCAGGGGAAGCTGCAGACCTCAGCTTCCACTGCAAATAAATGTTGGATCTTCTGTCAACACAGGAAGCTTTGGCTCATTCCCACACAAGAGCTGTGGCAGAGTCGCTGTCCTTCTCAGCTGTCTCTGCAGGTATTCAGGTCTGACAGCATAGCAAGCTCTTTTAGGTCAAGAGTTAAAATATTTGGGGAAAAAATAACCCTAATTAACATTGGCAGGAATATTCCTGTTTCATTTGGATTCCGGGAGTCCCCTTCGCAGCTGCTGTGTTATGGCAGTTTAAGCATGACGAGGGCTATTAGCAAAAACTCTTTTTTCTTTTTGCCAAGAAATAAATCCCTTTTTGTTGAAGCCAAACATGTTCCAGGTCAAACGCTCAGCTGGTACGAATCAGCTCAGCTCCACTGAATCTGAGGAAGTGCAGCAGGAGACCCGGCCTGGGCTCCCTGCCCTGTTCCTACAGAGGATGTCAGTGAATGCGAGCTGGATTAAAAATAATATTCATTATAAAACTAGGAAAATCCTAGAAAATAATTTACAGGAGAAAAGCTTTTCCATGATGGCTTAGTTCCACCTCTTCTACAGTAAGTAGCTGGGTTTGACAGTCAGGATGTTGGTTTTTACAATTAAAATGAATGGGAATGTTTGGTGCCAAATTCCACTCCGGAAGGTTTCCTGGGTGGGGGAGCTCCTGGGTGCGCTTGGCCTGTTCTTACAAGAAAGCAAAGCTGCGCACTGCCCTGGCCCTGCCACTCCTCGCTCATTCTGCTCCTTGCTGAGACTCGGGGCAGCGCTGCAGCAAGACGTTCAGCTCCAGGGATGCACCATTTTGCCTTATAGAATCACAGACTGGTTTGGGTTGGAAGGGACCTCAAAGACCACCTAGTTCCAACCCCCCTGCCATGGGCAGGGACACCTTCCACTACACCAGGTTGGACACATGTCCCCATATGTCTCCCAGCAGAGGTTAGAAATATTTGCTGCCATGGACAACCCGAGGAGCACCCATGGCAGGGACCCCCTTGCCCTGCCCTTGCTGCAGCTCTGCCTCCAGGCACTGTTGGATGACGTGGGTCTCTGCTTCCCGGGGGCTGGGGGTGACCTCAGGGAACTGGAACAGCCCTGGCAGGCCCCGGCTCAGCCGAAGGCTCTTGGTTTAGCTAATGCCTGTCACCTCCGGAAAAAGGGCTGGAAAGGGAACTGGAGGAAAGGTGAAGGGCAGAGCCAAGTGTTTTGTTTTCTACCAGGAGACAGGTCCAGGCAGGCCCTCTGAGCATCCCCACTGCTGCTGAGTCAGGCATGTTTGCTTGCCCAGATAATGGCTCACCCTCTCCTTCCACCAGATGCACAAGCAGTGCCTGGGAGATGCCACCAGTCCCACACCCTTGGACTTTGCTGGTGGTGCCGATGCTGCCGAAGTCCCGCTCCCTGGTCCCTGCTCTGACCGCCTTTAACCCCAGCAGCCGCTCACGGTTTGCACACAGGTAGCAACCAGACAAACACAGAGGGAAGGGCTTTATATAGGGGACAGGAATGAATCCAAACATCTGTTCCTCCCACCAGTGCAGCCTCCCACCCTGCAGACCGCAGGGCAAGGGGGCCTGTGCTTCCCACCGGCTGTTCGCTGCCACCCTGAGCAATCCCCTTCCCAGCAGGAGGGTTCTGAGGGCTGGGACTCTCCAGGGAGCCCAGGACAGTGATTTACGTGTGTTTGCACTCAAGTGTGTCAGGGAGGGGTGGGAAGATCCGAGGCAATTCTGCCCATGGGTCTGGCAGGAGCCTCCCAGGTGTAAATGCCCATGTCGGAGCCCAGCTGGATGGGAGCTATCACCCTGCCTGGCTTTGGCTGCAGCCTGGGCATATTGCTCCCCACTGCTGCACTATGGGATGTGGGTTATGGGATCTGGGTGACAACCCATAAATCACCCCGGGGACAGGCAGGAAGAGGTGGACGTGTCTGACTCTTCCCACAAAGAGCTTCCTGATACAATCTGATGCTCACGCTCCTGAAACCCCAGGCTTCCCATATCGCTGCTCCACACGCTGCTGCTGGAGAGCAGCTGACTCAGCTGATAACTGGAGGATTACAGCTCCTTGTAAAACCCAAGGTCAAAAACCAGTAGGAAATTCGGAGCAGAATAACCACCCCTGACAAAGGGCTGGGTACCGCCCTGATGCAGAGCATTGGGGTCCCTCCACAGCTCTCTAGGCGCTTCCTGGGGTGCAATGAGGTGGGGTGTTTCCCCCTCCATCCTATTTCTCAGGAGTGTAACA